AGATTTAATGAAGCTATAAATAAATTTCCAAACAAGGACTGTTCAATACATGAAAAATATTTTCTAAATTATTCAACACATAAATACAGATCATAACATCTAAAACTCTCAGCCAGTGCTCTTCTACCCATGTAATGGCACCAGCATCCATAAATTCCTCACACTCTTAGCTACCAACTTATTGTATCTGCACATTACTCTGATCATAATGTGATTTATCCAAGAAACAGCCAGTACTTTTCCTGCATTGAAAAGGAGTAGTCAGCCAATCTGCCTTATTTAGACCATTCAATGTGATTTCTCTGTAGTGACCTAAAATTAGAGCAGTTCAAACAAAACTATTTATTGTGCTATCTCTTCGGGAGTAAAAAGTAATAACCATGAATCTTTGATTCCACATTTATGGTGTTCTGGTAGTCAATAAATTATTATTGTCCAGAAAATATTATTGCACACCATTTGAATACTTGCACAAATCTCTTCTTTTCAGAACTCTGTTTTGCCCCTAGAGAACAAAAGAAATGTATTCATAATGAGACTTTAAATTCTTCTATATAAATTTTAGCACCATCAATAGCAAGGAGTTAGTGCTATAATCTCATTACTTTTCTCAGTATTTTATACCTATTTTCAAATAAAAATACACTTAATCCCAAACTCTAAATGCACAAAGTGCATTTGACTATAGTATTACGCATCAATTAAAAAAGAAAACCTGAAAGTTAATTTTCCACTTGAACTCAAATAAATCTCAAGCACTTTTATTCTGTCAGTGTATGCCATGCATTTGAGTGATAAGAGGAGCATATTCTAAAAAGAAAAGAGTTACATTATATCTGGTATAGATGCACACATTACAAACAACTATTGAAAATCATAATACATCTTATTTTAATATGACAAGTTCCTTTCACTTTAGAAAAATGGTTCTTAAATAATTGCATCTAAGTGTTAATTTCAGAAATAGTTTAGTTTGTAATTCTCCAGTCAATTAGCATTTGACAGGCAAGACCCTACTACTTGTTTAACACAATTAGATGTTGTAAAGTATGAAGGAACATTAAGACATAATAGCCAAATGTCATCCATTTTTTGGGGGGTATATTTTGCCAAATTACTAGAATTGCTACCATTCAAAGAGACATTCAGAGCTTATAAGCATCTACCAGATTTATTGAATGTACTTTGAGACAGTTCCTCTTAACTAATTTACAGAATAGGAGATGAAGTTCATGAGGGATGGAATTAGTGTTCTATAAGGCATCAAGCTTTGCAGATATAATAGTCTACAAAACTAAAGTCTGCCTATATGGAACAGATTATATTACACTAATCTTTTTAACCTGGGCAGTCTATGGGACCTCTAACAGTGGAGCCAGTGTTTGTCCCTAGTGCACAAATGGACTTTGAGAGTTCATTCCCTATGGAGGGATGCTATTGCAACCCAGATACATGAAAGAGGGGCTAGGCCCTCCCGCAAATGATGTGACAGACTTTGATGATCCCCTGTTGAGAGCCTCACTATCCTTGGGGAGTAGGTGGGAGGCAGGCTGGAGGGTTGGTGTTAGTATGGAAGGGTGGGAGGGGAAGGGAATGGGGCTATTGATATGTAAATTAAGATTGTTTCTAAAAACATAATTTCATGAATCAAGAATTACTATTAATAAACGCTAGGAAAATGCACTTAAATTTAAAAAAATCATATCAGGAATTAAACTAAGATGTGCCTACCAGAAGTTTTAAATTACACCTGAAAAAAATACCAGGTCATTCAGTCTCAGCCTAGTTGACCATTGTTCTATTTGTGAATCCACTTGAGAAAGCTGAAGGCAAGAGAATGTCTTCCTGTGTACATGTGAACAAATTCTCTTGGCTCTGCCTTCTACAACTGGACTTTAAATGCATAGATGGCTGCATGCCTTCCTGGGTGGATAGACAAATGTATATGGAGAAAGGAACTACCACAAAAAATTTGGTGCCTTTACTACTCTTCTTCACATCTTAATAATCCTTTAAGCTTCTGGAAACATGTCTCTGATTTAAGTTCACTGTACTATCATCAATGTATGACTCATGAATCATTGTTCTGGTTTGAAATGATGAATTATCCAATCAAGCATTCCATTCAGTGTAAAACTTCTCTGCAATATCCTTATGAGATAGATTGTTTCTGTTTGAACATCTAAACGAATCCTTTATCTCAAAGAAATATTTTTAAGTTTTAAAATTTTGTATTGAAATATTTCAAAATTTGCATAAATTTCCTTGTACAGTACAAAGACATGCTATCTTCATGTCCTCCTTTTCAGTTTCTCCAATTGTTACCATTTACCATACTTGTATACTCCATTTATACTTGATCAAAATAAAACTTAGATAAATAGACAGACAGATGGTTGATAAATCAATGATAGACATAAGCACATGAATGTATACACAAATGTGTTTATGTGTTTTGTATACATATACAGTATTTTTTAATCATTTGTGGTCAAGTTGCAGCTATCTTTTTAAAATTAATTTTTATTTAAATTAAAAACAATTTATTTTATATACTAATTCCAGTTCCCTCTCCCTCCAGTTCTCCCATTCCCCCTACCATCCTCCCATCACACCCCCCATCCACTCCTCGGGGCGGGTAGGCCTCCCATGGGGGATCATCAAAGTCTGTCACATCATTTGGGGCAGTACCTAGGCCCTCCCCAGTGTATCTAGGCTGAGAGAGTATCCCTCCATAGGGAATGGGCTCCAAAATCCCATTTATATATGATGGATAAATACTGGTTCCACTGCCAGTGGTCCCATAGACTGTCCAAGCCCCCCAACTGACATCCACATTTGGGGAGCCTGCTTCGGTCTTATGTGGTTCCCCATCTGTCAGTCTAGAGTCTGTGAACTCTCACTTGCTCAGATTCAGTTTGTTTGTATGGGTTTGTATTTTAAAGAGGCCTTTAAAATATTTGGTCTGTAATATATATACATATTTGGTCTGTAATATATATAAAATATTTGGTCTGTAATATATATATTATATATACTATATACTATATATTTTCTGTACAAAACATTTTTCAGATAAACACCTGAATATACAGGCATGCACACACACACACACACACACACACACACACCCTCTCCTGTATCTTTGCCATATATTATTACCACCCAATGAGAAGATAAAGTCTTATATGTAAGAGTTATAATATCTGACCACTAATCAAATAAACACAGATAGACCTTAATTGTGTCCTCAGAAAATCTTTCCCAAACCAAAATGTTTGCTCCAATGATGCTGAAAATCTGTTATTACAGTCCTTGCCATTCAATACATCCTGCAAAGAAGTGAACAGAGTGATGATGCAAAAGCCTTGATCTTAGAAGCAAACAAACCAGTGTTATAATCCCAACAATGACCTTTAATCATTGGGCAATCTCAGAATGGAGAAATATATCATATTTCAACATTAAAATAGGTAAATTTTAAAGAATTGCATATGAGATTTAAATAGATTGAATGTTTGGTTCTGAATCAAAATTATGCACTGTATATTAGTTATTTACTAGCATGTGTTATTGCAAGAGTTTTACAGACCAAATATTTTAAAGGCCTCTTTAAAATACAAACCTATACAAACAAACTGAATCTGTGGAAATGAATTTATTAATTTTTCTGAAGGACAAAATAAAAAAATCACAACAATATTTATTTCCCACAGCATGATGTACATAAAGATTTGTCACAGGGAGAATCAGTAAGTTTAAGAACAAACATTGCCTACTGGGCTCTTCTTGGACACTGATGTCCTTATGAAGGTCCAGACACATTGCTTCTTTTTCAAGGCTATTACCTGTTTCACTATGTATGAGACTCAGTTTTCGAATACAGAAGCAGTTTACTCCCACTAATACCTGACTAAGGGCATAAGAGAAAATACATAACTCTGAAATTACATGGAAATGTTGATTATTCTGATTTGAATATAGTATATATGTGTTGAAATATTAATCTCACTGAGTACATCTAACAGGCTCAATGATCACATGTTAAACAAAACTACTTGAAAATACTTAATACCTTTAAAATGTTGATGATCCCAATTTGATTATTAAAATGTATCAAATTGTAACACTATACACCATAAATTTGTACAGCTAAAATTATGAAAGTATATTTTAAAAGCATATTTAAAAAGAATTAAGACATGCTACTATTGTCAATATCAAAATTGTTAAGGAAAAACAAATTATAAAGAGGGGAACATCAAAATAGACAAATTGTAAACAATTGTTTTCAATGAATTGTTAGTGTTTTATAAGTGCTAATGGAGATTTTATAATAAAACTTATTGTAAATATTTGTATACAAGCACAATTACAGGGACAACTAGGTAAAAATACTTTCTTCCGAAATAGATAAAACCTGACATGCCTCCACCTTAAGCCAGTCTTGTTAAGATAAATCTTTCTGCCAAAACTGCTCGAGCCCCACCGCCACGTGTGCGATCTCCGCCAGCAGTCTGAGTTCTGCCCACCGCGTGGATGGACAAAATAGTACAGAGACATATTAGGTACAAAGCTGCTTGGCCAATGACTAGGATTCTCATCTGTTAGCTCAGTCTCAAGTATCATAAATCTATATATTTTATAAGACTTATCTTATCGGACACCTTATTGGCGTCCCTCCTTGCTGGTGGATCACATTGCGCAGCTGGAGGAAGAGCGGAGGGAAAAAGGGGACACTTCCTGTTTCCTTTACTTAAATATGAGTATCCTTGCTATGTCACTTCCTGCCTGGAACACCACTTCTCTATTACACAGTCTTATATTCCTTCTTAGATTATACAGAAAGGGATGGTTCTGAATGAAAACAGAATAAACAGATACTCTGAAGACAAAGTTTCCTGAAATTTACATGAAAAATAACAGAGAAGGGGCTCTGGTTATTCTCGGCATTTTATGGGAGTGCTGTATGTCACAGAGCTGTGTTTGTTTTTGTTTGATCATAATTGCTTCTTGTTTCTTTTTATCTTCATGTCACCACTTGTTCCTTGATACAATTGCTTGTCTTGTCTTTCATGATCAAGAATTTCTTTGGGGAACAGGTGTTTCTCATCAAATACAGCTTTCAAAGCTACAAAAGGATGAAGAAAGTGACATGAAAATTATATTTACTAAGAGTCCCAGTTAAATGAAGTAGCAGGAAGAAAACTCAAGTTTTCTTTGTCTGAAAAGCTATGTTTCTAGAACCAAGAATGTACCAAGGAGACTTTTTTCTAAGCTTCTGCTGTTCATTTTAGTTTTACTATCTCTCTCTCTCTGTCTCTGTCTCTGTCTCTGTCTCTCTCTCTCTCTCTCTCTCTCTCTCTCTCTCTCTCTCTCTCTCTGTCCTCTTCACTTTTTCTCTGCTTGTCTGTCTCTCTGTTTCCCCCACCCCGCCCACACACAGCATGCCCTACCTCTTTATGTGTGTGATGACAGAGCTTGGTGATTTAAAGGTGAGGGCTAAATAAGCTGGTGTTTTCTGTTTCTGTTTTATAATCTACTTTACATCTATCAAGGGCTTGTAAAAAACCCCAGAACAAATTATTCTGTATTGAAATAAGAGAATTAAAATAATCAAAACACAGTTTGACTATCTGAATGACTAAACACATACATCTGCAATCACATCCTTACAAAAACACTCTGATGTGCAGGAATCTGTAGCTTCAAAAAAGAAAAAAAAAGGAAGAGGCAAATTATTCCTATGGCTGCTGAAACTGCACAGCAAGTAGTGGGAAGAAACTGTGCCACGTGTTCAAGGAAATGATTGTGGCCACCAGCATAGCTCTGTCTTTCAACAAATGAACACTGGAAGTACATTACACAAATGTTTTGTACTAAGGCTATAGGACACTAATATGCCTAACTCATAGGCTTTCATCTGAAATGATTAGAAGCAGAAATAGTACTTATGCTAGTGACATCATAAATATCATGAAGAATAGCAGAAAGCAGGAAACACAAATCATGAATAAATAAATTGAGAATGTATAACAATATATCAAGATTAGGGTAAAGCTTTAGTACTATTTCTTGAAGATGTAGAAAAACAGACAGAATTTTAGTTACTTATCACAAAGATGGAGATGAAGAATGATTGATAAAGGTGAACAGAAATGTCAGCTAGACAAAGTAAAGTTTGTGCAAGTACAGAGAAACAGGTACTTCTTTCCATGTAATGGGATACTCAGTACAATAGAATAGATGAATAAAGGAGATAAACAACATGGGGTGAAATAGAAGCTTGGCTAAGGAGAATGTTAAATACTAAGCCACAGAACACTGAAAAAAGAAAGCAAAGTAATACTAAACAACTTTATAATGTAGCAATATTCTGGGCTAAGAAGATGACTCAGAGGATAAAGGGCTTGCTTCACAAACATGAGGATTGGAGTTTGGATTCCAGAATACACATAGAACCAAATGCAGTCTATAACACTTATAGAGTGCATGCCTATAATCCTACTGCCTCTGCAGTGAAAGGCGAGGCAGAGTCAGGACAACACTCAGAAGCCAGTCTAGTGTGTTCAGTTACAGGGTGAAAGGAGAGAACCAACATTGGAGCTCTTCTCAGATGTCCACATCCTTGCATGTATCCACACTTAGGCACACACACACACACACACACACACACACACACACAGAGAGAGAGAGAGAGAGAGGGGGGGGCTTACACCATCATATACTCCCCACGAAGATTAAAAGTAAAATAAAATATGATAAAGAAGTTAAAAACACAAAATGAAACAACAGAATAAGTAAATAAAACACTCTTACTAGCAGTACAAACATGGACATAAAATTTAATATCTTTCCTTTTCTATCCTTTAAGTTGTATAACAAGAAGAGAAATGAGGGGAAATCATTCTGGAAATAAATAGCATTTTCATAAAAACTCAAGAGGAAGATGGGAACTGCAGCCTACAGGATATGAAGAGTATAAACCAATAGCTGAGACTGCAAATGTTAACACAAGAAGAAAATTACACAATGGAGAGTCTATCTAAGAACGCAGCTTAGAGAGAGCAAATCAAAACAAAATAAAACAAAAACAATAAACACTCAAGGAACTGAGAGCACCCTAGAAATATATGATGGTGGGAACTGGACAGTTGATCTTTAGGGAAGGCAGAGAAATTTTGTCCTCAACATGTGTATGAGATGATGGAAGTAAGTCTGCAAGTGGAGGAAATAATTTAAGAAAACATAAGCAACTTACTGAAACTGCTTAGTATTCTAAAACATGTTTAGCTTCACTGTGACGAATTTCTGCCTGTATGTATGTACATATGTATGTTGACTAGACTCTAGCTACCAGTAGTCCCTAAAAATTTGTTTTCCAGGTGTAAATTATAGTTCCTAACTTTTCTAGATCTCTTAGGCGAATCTGACTTAACCAACTGGAAGACATAAAACAGTACTGAAGCTTTCCTAAGAGAAGGAAAAGACTCCTTTGCCCAGAGTGTCCATCTTCCCTTACAACTGAGCTGTATGTATTTTAGAGTTTCTATGGGCACCCCACCCTGCCTTAACCACTCAATATAAGATCATGCCGGTTCCATTTCCCCGATTCAGTTCTGACTACTGTTTACTACAGAATGGTTGCAAGAGATCATGAGGACGGGTGAATTTGTAATGGTCCTTGTGACTTGGGGCAGATAGCTGTTGTATAATCCTAAGAAAGAAATGTTGTATCAGCCAAACACAGCACCCACTCAGGAACCTAAAGCCCTGTCTTCAAGGCTACAGATCTTAAAATCTTGGAGAATCCTTGCTCAGAAGGGTTAGCAACAGCCATTTTTAGTTGGTTCATTGGTCACATAAAATCTTGAAAGCTTCCGAGAGCTTCCATTTAGACTTTCAAAGAACCAAACTCCCTACGAGGTCTCACCATAGCCTCACTGAAGTCATCCCTGACATGTTTATCTCTCCATTCTTGTACTAGACTTTTCAGCGGCCTCCAGATACAATGACCTTTGCTCTGCCCATGACAGACATCAATGTTGCTTACATCTCAGTGGCTTTACACTTTTGTGCACAGTGCTTGAACTATTCTGCTTCAATGCCTTAGTGGATTCCATCCCTCAGAATTTGCCTGACATGGCAAGACACTTGTGGGGCTGCCTCTCCACTCAGGCCTCTCTTCTGGGTGCTTTGAGTACTTCATTGGATCTGTGTGGGGGATATAGCCCTCTCCTGGATAATGTAGGTACTACATTACATTGCTTCATTTTCCTGCACCGAAATTGGTTACTACGCATGCTTAGATTCTCTCTGATTTATTTACTTATCATGCTAGCTTTCCCATTGCCGTGAAGAATACTGAGAAAACAACCTTAGGGAAGGGATCATTAAATTTGGTTCATCAGCTCCTTTGATCCTGTGACTGTGGGGAGGGTGCGCATGGGGGTTGGAGCATATGGCCCGAGTTACTGAACTCGCAGTAGTAGAGCAGAGAGTAAGGGAACAGGAACAAGTTGTAACTCTCAAAGACATGTTCCCAGTGACCAACTTTCTCCATCTCTCTAAAGTTTCCACCACCTCCCCAAAATAGCTCCACCACCTGAGGACCAAACATTCAATACATCAGAAGAACACTTCATATTCAAGCCTCAATACTTGTGTACTGCCTGTTTCCTCCATATGATAAATTCAACGGAGCAAAACCCTTGCCTGTTCTTGTATACCTATATCCTAGAACACAGTATGTTGGCTTTGGTTAATGGAAGGAGATCAATATATATATATACATATACATATATATGTATATATGTATATATATATATATATATATTCAATCAAATGAGAGACACAGACATGCCCATATATATAAGTAAAAATACATCTTAAAATAAAAATCTATTATTATCAAAAACATTTGCACTCATTTGATTTATATTCAATCAAATGCACATGGATATATATACATATACATATACATATACATAAACATATACATATACATATATATTCGTTGAACTAATAAACAAGTCAAGGGGACCTTACACTTTGAGATCCTTACATTGTCAAGATTGGAGCTTATATAATAATGGTAAAAGTGCAGGTTTCCATGGTATAGATGATTTTATGTTCATGTATTTAAACATAATGTCAGCCATGGAAAATCAAAATCTAGGGCCTGTTGAGATAACATAGTAGGTAAAAGCACTTGATGCCAAGCATAAAGGTCTGAGTATGACCATCAGGAACCACATAATGGAATAGGTTGCCCTCTAAACTTTGCATGTATCATGACATATGCATGTTGTCTCTGCATCTGTTTCTATGTCTCTCTCTGTCTCTCTCTCATACACACAGAGAGATAAATAAATATATAATAAAAATTAAAAGTAAAACGTTGCATCCATGGGCTGGAAAGATGTCTTAGCACGTAAGGCCTCTTGCTGCTCTTTCAGAGGAACTGAGTTCAGTTCCCAGAGCACTCATCTTGGACAGCTTACAACTGCCTGGAACCCCAGCTCCAGGCAACTCAATGCCCTCTTCTTCCTTCTAAGGGCACAAATGTGTATAGCATATGTACACAGAGTGACATACCCATACACCTAAGTAAGACTAAATCTTAAAATAAAAATCTATTGTTATAGGGAACCATTTGCATTCATGCTTTTGTACTTGGAAAAGTATGGCATTAACCCACTCACATCATTTCATGTTTGGCTGTCTGACAGCATTTTCTATAATGACACCCACAAAGTATTTTTAAAGTGATGAAAATGAAGAATGTGTTGGTTGTGCAATACTGAAAAACATGATGTCCTGACTTAAAAATGACAAAGTTGGTTTATCTGCTGCCATCTGCCCTTCTTTTCCCCATTAATTGGCAGCCTCGTCAGACTGACAGCAACAGCAAAATAGTCAGAGATGACCTGAAAAATGTAAGATTCTATGTAAACAGTGCATAACAGCCAGCTGTGGGTAATCTGAATTTGGTTGCTGAAAACCTTCTCCCTTGCCCATGCTTAAAGCCATATTCGAAATCCCACTCACTGTTCTGTATCTAACTCCATTGTACAAAATAAACATGAGAATCACTTGTTAAAAAGGCATTCTGGGACTGGAGAGATGGCT